TCATTGGGGAAAACTAGGTGAAGGGTCCATGGAAACTCTATTTAACTGTTTTTGTAACTTCTTATACTTAAATTATATCAAAATAAAGGGTCCATAAAAAGCCTATCTTTTGGGGTAATTGTTCACAATACAAGAAATTAAACTAATTATAAGTTTTGCAACATTCTTCAAAAATTTTAAATTAAAATAAAAAATTGAATAGACCAAGATTTTTGTAATAAAGAACATATTCCATGAGACAAAAGTACTCATTAAATTAGACAACCTTCTTTGTACATGATGCTTTAAGATAGATATATCTATTTTAGGGGGGCTAATTATCCACTGAAACCATCACAAAAATCATATTGAGTTGTTCCAGTTTTGTTCATACATATAAACATTATTCAAAACAATTATTTTACTTCACACCCCCCTTCATAGAAGTATAACTATGTGAAAGTACTGCAAGAGATTTTGGTACCACTAAAGATACTTTACTGGATTTAATCAGTTTGAGCAACTTTTTACACAAATTTAAATAAACAGATATACAAAGTTTATTAGAAGAAACACAAAATCAAGGATCATAACAGATTATAAACTGTATTACAAGTTAACAAAAGCAAAAACATAAATTCAAAACAAATTCTTCAATAATTAGAAGTAACTGAATGAAACAGTGAATAGAATGTGGAGCTACCTTAATAATGTATTGAGACTTGATATGATTTCTTATTTTTAATGATTTCCCTTTTCAATCAAAGGGAATGTGGTGATAATCCAATTAAAAAGAAAAACCTAGAATTTAAAGTTTTTTTCATTAAGCAAATAAGTGCCAGACTTTCACAAAAAAATAACTATTTAAAAATAATTATATTAAATATTGTACATACATATTTTTAAAACGTACTATCCTTTCCAGATACTCACGTTCAATTTATTGCTCTAGGCCTGAGTTAATATGAGAAAACTACTGGGCTTCAACTAACAAGAGTCCTATGGCAGGGATATGGTGATTATTATAATACTAGAGGCCCGGTGCACAAATTCGTGCACTGGAGAGGTAGGTGTGTGTGTGTGTGTGTGTGTGTGTGTGTGTCCCTCAGCCCAGCCTGTGCCCTCTCACAGTCCGGGAGCCCCACGATCGATCGCTCCAAAAAGGTAGGCCCTGCCCACCTGCTGCAGCCCACTGGTCAGTGACCTGGGCCTCTCTCTTTGGGGTGATCATGGAGCCCCCCAATTGACTGATGGCACCGCTGGCCGGTGGCCTGGACCTCCCTCTGCAGGGCAATCATGAGGCGATAGCCGGGCCCCGGAACAATTGCATTGCACCTGCCTTGGCTGGCCTGGCACCAGTGGGTGTCATAGCGTGGTCATCCAAATGGTTGTCAGATGGTCATTCTGCTGTTCGGCCGTTTGGTCAATTTGCATATTATGCTTTTATTATTATAAATGATACTTTTTTCAACCTTTACATTCACTGAAGTATATATCAATTTTGAAAAAATGACTTAATTTTTAAAAAAATTTATTTTATTGATTTTTTAGAGAGAAAGGGAGAGGGATAGAGAGAGTTAGAAACATCAATGAGAGAGAAACATCAATCAGCTGCCTCCTACACAACCCCTACTGGGAATGTGCCCACAACCAACGTACATGCCCTTGACCAGAATCAAACCTGGGACCCTTCAGTCTGCAGGCTGACATTCTATCCACTGAGCCAAACCGATTAGGGCTTAATTTTTAATAAATTATCTCAATGGCCTCAACTAAGCAAGCTGACTAGACAGTATGGGTTTCGTGTAAGGCCACTGTTGTTTGGCATCCAATCCCCCTCCTTTTTTAGATTACTCTAATTTTCCTTTGAAAACTATCCAGGGGTTAGAATATAACTTGGTCCTGGTGATCTGATTTAAAAATGACTGAATCAAAGATGAGCAAGAGTCAAGCCAAGCTAAAAACAGCCAGCTTTGTGACTAGCAACAATGTGCTCTTTCCTTTGGGGCTACTGATTTGGTTGAATGCAAACCTTGAGCTATCATGTAGAATGTTAGCCTGAGAATGAATTTAACTGTGAAGAAATCAAGAGACAGGGATGAGAAAAACAGATTTTTGGAGTCATGCAAATACCTAGATGCAACAATACTGAAGCTTTAAGGTTACATAAAGTTTTCTAAAAAAAATCCCCTTGTCATTTCCAATTAAGTCATGACTAATACAATTTACTGGATAATCTCTAAATTATTCACAACTACAAATCCCATGAGTATAAGTTTTAAAAAGATTCTGGAAGTAAAAGAATCTATTGTTAACTAAAATATCTATACTAAAAGTGTTTAAAGATATAATCATGTGGATGAAAAAGAGGAGTCCTATGGAAAGTAATCTCACAGGGTGATCAGATCATAAATTGCTAACTGGGAAGTCATGGTGGGGAGTCATGTCCAGACATATAACATTTTAGTAAAAGGTTTATCTTTGCCTTAAGCAATCCCTGTCCATTGTTTCTGTGCATCTACATTAGCACACCTTTGAAATATGCACCCTTAAGCATTTAGTATTCTAAAATTGTGAGTAGCATACAAATTACCTTTATAAAGCTAAAGGAAAAAAACCTAATCTCTATGTATAAAAGCCTAAGCGACTGAACGACTGAACGACCAGTTGATAGGTCGCTATGACTTGCACTGACCACCAGGGGGCAGATGCTCAATGTAGGAGCTTCCCCCTGATGGTCAGTGTGCTCCCACAGCCAACCTCCTGCAGCCCCTCTGTGGTCTCTTATCCTGACCAGCCAACCTCCTGAAGTCCCTCCCCCCGGCCAGCCAACCTCCCATGGCCCCAATCAGCCCTGATCGCCTGCCAGACCAAGGGACCCCACCTGTGAATGAATTTGTACACCGGGCCTCCAGTTTAATTATATAGTTATGCCTTTTAAATAGTATCTGCCTGGCATATTATCTAACAAATTATAGTCAGTATTTGATAAATGTTTGATGAATAAACTATAGTAGACAGGTTGAATGTGAGTGGGCACAGTACATAATAACAAAGATGTTAAAAATGTAGTATGATGTAGATCAAGCTTGTCAAACTCAGGGCCCGCAGGCCGCATGCAGCCCACAATGAATATTTTTGCGGCCCAGCCAATATAATGGTATATAAGGAACATTTTAATAAAAATTTCCTAACTTAATTTTTACAATATCCTGTTATACATAATTATTAATAAACTAGAACATTTACTAATGACTGATTACTATAATCGTGTTGCATTTATTTCCCGTACGCACCTTATGTGCAGGCGCACCATTTCTCTCCACTAATACTAGTAGCAAATATTTTAGCAGCCGATTGCCACGTCATTAGTCTTGGACTGACTTGTTTGGTGTGCGCAACAGGAAATATTTTGCTTTCAGAGAACAAGAAAAATAGGTTTATTTGCGTTACACTTATTAATTTGTGCAGTTATTCGGTGTCTGGTAAGTTAATGTTCAAGAAAAAATATTAATTTTTATTAAAATGTTCTATTATTTTATGTTAACGATTACTCATTTATTTCAGCCCTTTGTATTCAGCATGTCTCTATCGAAATAAACCTATGTTTCTATGAAAATTGAAGCTTTTGGTTTTTTTGCGGCCCACATCAACTTAAACCTTGTTTATTTGGCCCGTGTTAGCCTTTGAGTTTCACACGCTTGATGTCGATCTTAAAATATAGAAGAATTGAAAAGTTAAAAAGGTTCCTTTCATGTCTCAGGTAGAAATAATCCTTTTCCATAAAAGTAAACATCCTGTCTCTTAATGACTTTCTTTTCCTTCTACATAAGTTATTAAGCCGCTGGTGATTTAATCAAAGCCGTCTTTTCCCCTCTCAATTGCCCCGTCTTTATTTGATGCTCACTTGAGACTCCCAGCCATTACCCTAGTCCAGAGTCTTCCCTGACACTGTCCAAGACTAAGTTTATTATCTTCTCCAACATTATAAACTCTGCGTCAGCTTCAAAATCTCAGGAATCCTCTAATATTCTAATGCTAAAATGCTCATAACCATTTCAACACCAAACAGTGCTATATTATCTCTATAATGCTCACTGCTACCATCCCAGACCACACGTACTGCCACAGTTCCACTCTTTTAAGTCCTACAAATTTCATCAAGGCGAGGAGTACAAAACTTGGTATTACTTAAATTCACGTGTTCTTCCTGGGTGGTCATTCTAGTGAACTTAGCCATGTGTTTATATTTTTTCCTTATTACAAAGCTAAATGATTTCACACGGTCAACAAAGCCTGTCAACAAATAAGGGTTCCTACAATACTAGGATTGCAAACCCAGGGTAACAAATTCAACTAGCATTTTCAGTTATCACCCTTCCTCTAATCCCGCAGAACTTGAAACGGCAGGAAAGAATGATGGATGAGCAAAAGGGAAAGGAAACGCAGAAGCGCAGAGGCGGGGACTTCACTTCCGATTGCCACGCAACACGAAAAAACCCAAACGTCCCTCCGGCTCTTTCGCAATCTACGAGAAAAAGGCCGTATCGGACTCCAAACCCAAGGACAAAGACACAAAAAAGAAACTGCTCTGAAGAAACAGACCCTTGCTGGTTCAGAACTCACCTGTTAGAAGCGGCGTGGACGGCGCCATCTCGTCCCGGAAAAAGAAAACTATGCACTCGGGTCAGAGTTTACGAGGGCCAAACCCGGCCTCTACACGTCCACTCCGGCGTGGGCACGGCAATTTAGTATTTCCGGGGTCACCAGCCTCGGGGCCAATTCACTTCCGTTTGGAGACTGTAGCAGCGAAGGAGCCTCAAGGCGCACGCGCAGCTCTGGGGGGTGTGTGTGTGTGTGGGCGGGGGGAACACATTTTTACAGAACTTGGGAGGGTTGGGCTAGGGCCCCTGCGCCCGCCTTCACCCTCTCCCCCTTCTGCCGGTGGGGCCCGCACTTCCGCGGGGCGGAGTTCTCCGAGTGCTGACGTTGGCAGCCGAACCGAAGTAGTTCGAGCTGACGGGTTACGAGGTCCACTTGTTTCGTTTCTTCCTCTTTCACTCCACGCTCCCGGCGGCGGCGGCGGCGGCGGCGGCGTTGCGAGCCTCTTCCGGGCCTGCTGTCCACCCGCGCTCCAGCCTCGCTCGCCGGCGCGCCCAGGTTCCCAGGCAGCCGGCGGCCCACGCCCGCCTGCGCTCAGCACCGCGTTTGCAGCTCTCAGGCCCAACCTAGCGCCCGCCTGAGAACCTCCCGGTTTCCGCGGCGCGGCACCGGGAGCGGGGCGTCGCAGCGGTCCGAGGGGGAGCGAGCGAGGCCAAGGGTGGTTTGGGTTAGTGGTGGCGCCGCGAAGATGGTCGCCAAACAGCGGATCCGTATGGCTAACGAGAAGCACAGCAAGAATATCACCCAGCGCGGCAACGTAGCCAAGACCTCGGTAAGGAAAGAGCGGACGCGCCTCTGTGCTGCAGCCGGAGCTGAGGCCCGAGTCTAGGGCCGCGTCGAGTCCTCCCCAGACCCGGCCGGCTGTGGGGGCCCGAGGCCGCGAGCTGGACACTAAGTTGGGGGTTCGGGGAAGGGGGTGCCGGAGCTGGGCGGCTCGGGAACGGAGGAGAGACTCCGCTGTGGGAGTCCTGAGTCGCAGTGGATTTTTGCATTTGAAACGATGGGTTTTCCTTTTTGCAGAGAAATGCTCCCGAAGAGAAGGCGTCTGTAGGACCTTGGTTATTGGCTCTCTTCATTTTTGTTGTTTGTGGTTCTGGTAAGTGCTCTGGGGGCCACGTCGGGTGGGAAGTGGGATGACGGGTTTAGGATGACGTGGTGACCTCCCAGTGGTGAGTCTGAACCACGTAGTTCTCTACCCACCTGCCGCGCGCTCCACATAATTCTCTTTCATCCGAACAAATTTACTTGTCCCACATATGCGCAGAGGGTGATGCTCCAGAAACTTCTCCCAGCTTGACTTGTGCCCACAGGATACTAGAAAAGGAGGTCGTCAGGTTCTTAGTAATGATCAAGCTGGAAAAATGTAGAGCAGAACAAAAAACGAAAACATCTCAGAGAAGGAAATAGGATGGTTTGCTATTCCATTATCAATCCCTTTGCAAAAAAAGAAGCTTGAATATTATGTACATATGGATGTTCTAACTTAATTTAACATGCCCCAGAATCTAACATCTTTATGTCAAAAGCTAGGTGTATTTTAGGGTAAAGCTAGTGCGAAGAACTGATTCACTATAGAAGAAACGTGGCAATTTAATATGTGACAAATGGTTTTAGATTAATAAAAGAAACATTTGACATATGGTAGAAAAATTCGTTATCAGGGCAGCCTGCTGTTAGCTATAGATTCTGCAAATGCATTACAGAATATCATTTATTATCTTATATAAGCTGTTGATATTGACGTACATGTTTCTGCATTTCAAATTCTGACATTCTAACTTTATTGGGGTTTCTTTTAAACATTTCACTTTGCCTGTCTCCTAAACTTACCAGTTGGAAGCTTTCCTGATAAATGGCCAAGAGCCAAGCAATTTATATAACCTAAAGATGATTGAATTTCAGCCTTGTGAGAATGAGGAAACATGCATGTTACAGGCCAGGCCTTCAGAGGACATGTAATATCTAGTGATAAACCAAAATAATTCTGTGCTTGAAAAACCTGTTTGCTTTGGTACTTTAAGTTCTTTCTGAAATGTTGTTGTCAAACTCTCTGGGACATTTAAATAGAAAACTCAGAAGCTGAGATTTTAAAAAATAACTTAATGGACATTTGTTTTTTTATGGTAGGCGTGTCTTCATTTCTTATTACAATGAAGTTACATAGCATTTGCGAGTTACTTAAGGGTACCCTACCTTAACATTGCGTACTGCATAGAAATCTCTAAGACATACGCCAGGGACCGCACGTTTTTGGGCAAACTGCACGTTATTTAAATCATCATAACGACAGATCATAATGCACTTTAGGTGTTGTTTTTCAATAATTATAACATTTTTATTTACAAAAACAATTAAACAATTAAAGTTTCTAGTACTTTAGGGGCTACGTGTTCGGACCATAGGTTCTAGCTTACAACCCAGCTGTTGGCTATGATTGTTCTTGGGAGGGCCCTGCCCTCCAGCTGGGACTTAAACGTGGCAGTGAGAGGACCCTGTCCTTTCATTAGTCCGAGGCTTGAACCTGGCCAAAACACTGTAACCGCGCCCCACAGTGGACAAGACAGTGTGCTGACATCTAAGGTCCATAACAGATGGCGCGTGAAAAAACGAGAACACTCGTGAGCCGTCCTTAACAGATGGCGCGCGATACACGAGAAAACTCGTGAGCGGTACGCAATGTGTTAATAAATATTTGCCCCTTGCCAGACCAATTTATTCAAAGCATGTTTTAATATTTGTTCTTTCTCTTTACAGCAATTTTCCAGATTATTCAAAGTATCAGGATGGGCATGTGAAGAGACTGACCTTAAGATGTTTCCATTCTCCTGTGAATTTTAACTTGAACTCATTCCCGATGTTTGATACCCTGGGTAAAAACAATTCAGTAAATCATCCTGCCTCAGAATGATTTTTCATATCATCATTCATGTGTCATTCCAAGGTTTTTTCACAAGTCATTCCAAATTTTCTAGTTCATACCACAGTGCCTTGCAAAAGCACCACATGAATAAAGCAATAAAATTTGATTGTTAAGCTACCATAGTGGACCCTACTTATTCAGTCATTAAAGAGTAAGTTTTTTAATGTGGTTATTAAAACAGTATACAGTATAGGTAATTAGATTAAGTCTGTGTGGACAGGGTCTAGATTTTGTTAACTAATGAGTACATGCAGTTAGCTTAATTTAAAATTTGGAATCTTATGGTTTTTATATAGCTAGGCACTTATTACAATATCTTGAATTGAAAGCACACTCCCATATAGGGTCATGGACCTGTACTGTAATAAGGTGCTTATAAATGGAACAACTATACAGTTAGCCTAGTTTTCCCACAATCTATAGCACCTAGGAAATTCTAAAAGCTTCTAAACGCCTAATGTAAAAGGAGATGCTTACAGCCATGTTTACTTTAATATTATTTCTGGTACACTACCCTGGATTTTGCATGAGTGAATATACTAACCTGAGATGCCATAAGAAAACAACTTGGTTGAGCATTTTGTAATTTAGTCACTTCAGTTTTACTAAAACCTATCATGGTGGAGTACAGTCAGGAAAGGTTTGTTTATCTCACCAGTGATTTCATCAGAATTACTTTAGTGTATCAAAGAGGTCTACTATGGTAGACAGAGTCTAAGAGGAAAAATATGACTAAAAATGGATGCCTCATCAGGACATACTATTGAGCCCAATGTGCCATAAGACATCTTAGCATATTATTAGCACTTTTAACATCAAAAAGGCACAACAACTAAAAAGTTACACCTAGTTTGGAAATGTTTTTTCTAGATTTATGATTAAAATTGTTGGGGTTCTAGTTACATCAGACTAATGTATCATCTGGAATTAAATGGATTTACTGATAAGGGATCAGTCCTTAGTTTTCCGTTTGTTGTATAATTTTATAGGTTATGATCAGACTTCCATTGTAATGGTAAGGGGGAATAAGAAGGCAGATTTGGGGTTTTCTGGTACTGTTGAAAACTGAAAGTATTGGCTATTTAAATACTTAGCCATAACTTGATGAAAAAAACCTGAGAGATGTCTGTTAATCGGAAAGAAAGCTGCTTCTTTGCTTTGTTTAATTGCCTCAGGATATTTCTTTTAAAATAAGCTGTTTTAAGAGGAACAGAAGGGAAATCTGCTACTTTGTCTATACTCAGTGTGAACTTCAGAGAGAGCTTCTGATGCCCCAAGGTATGGGAGAGAGTGTGGGAGGGGAGTGGTAAGGCTTGTCAGGAATTTGACTACTCTAGAATAGGAAAAGAATCAGCTGACCTGGGGCCAGCAGGTTTTATCTTCATTGTTACCTGCCTTTCTCACCCAGAAAGTCAACTCCTATACTTGTTTCCCTCTTTGAAACAAGTATCTTGGTTAATTCTATTTTATTGTAACTTTTAAAATGAAAGTTATTGTTCTGAGTTCATAGCAGGTGCCTTATTCTTTGCTTTGAGTCAAACCATTCCATATCAGAATTTCCCTTGGTGTATCATAGGTAATTGACTTTAAGATGGTGGTGATGTCTTTTAATATACAATGTCTATTAATTTGTTAAATTGCTATAGCTAGCAACCATTTTACATATGTAAAGTTGCATTCCCTTTGTATTTCATGTGTAATTTTCCAGTTGAGTGCATTTTATATTAAGGATGGATTATGCATGTTTGGGTCAATGAAAGCTATGTCTTATTTGATCTTTAAAAATAAAAGTTCCCTGGATATTTTATGCCTTCTAAAAGAAAATGATTTTACAGAGTTCCTTTTTTTTTTTTTAATAAGAATTTGTTTGAACCAAATTGATGCATGCTGGAAACCAAGATCACAAGTGCTCACCAGAGTTCTTATCTGAATGTATATTTTACAATTAATAGAAAATGATTCTAAAGACTGCCTAGTATTATGTTGTACTTGAGATAAAACAAATAGTACCCAAATGCACGGATTTAAAGTTTATAACTGGGAATAGGTAACAAGAAAAATATATAAAAGCACAATGAATTAAATACTTCCCCACCTAGGATTTACCCTTATCTCATGTTTATCCAAGTCTGATTCAAGGAAGAAGCACGGTTCTTTTTAACTCCCTTTCCTAATTGAATTTTTAAAAAGCATATCTTTATTGATTTCAGAGAGGAAGAGAGAGAGAGAAACATCAATGATGAGAGAGAATCATTGATCAGCTGCCTCCTGCACGCGTCCCACTGGGGATGGAACCCACATCCTGGGCATGTGCCCTGACTGGAATCGAACTGTGACCTCCTGGTTCATAGGTTGACCCTCAACCACTGAGCCGCACTGGCCGGGCTCCCAATTGAATTTTATATGTCATCTAATTTTGAGCACAGTATGAGAGTAAATGCTTTGTTGCAGTTGTCTGCATTATCCAATTACTCTTTGTAATTTAGCTACAACATTTCAAAGAGTTGTCAAGGATTTCATTGTATCTGTTGAGTTGTATATAATGCTCAAAATAATTGAGTGAGCTTCCAGATTAAGTAAAAGATTTTCATTGTAACAGGATACACTGTAATGGGCTTTTGACTTACATTAAAGAAATATGTATACTCAAGTGCAAAGCATCCCTTTACAGATAAATAAAAAAATTCATGATTCTTCTTACTAAGTTTTGTTGGTACAAAGGAATACCATATTGTGCTGGATTATGTTCTTGGAGGTTCAACAAACTTATTGTGCATTAGCACCTGTAAAATGTAGAGTATCATCAAATTTTATAAATTGTTCTGAAGTTTGATTTGCCTTTACCTTTTTAGTTTTTTACTTGTTTTAGACACAAACCACAACTTCAAGAGGTAGGAGTTGGGTTCAAGAGCATGTGCAATATCACTCCCTCAGAATCCTTCCTTGTCTAGACATAATCCTTGTACTGCTTTATCTTCAAGTTGAATTAAAACAAAAATGTCCTAATTTGGAGAAGTACTAGTATGCAATAAAAGGCTATAAAGTAAGCTGAAGGAGAAAATTCAACAGTCTGGACTTAGATAATCCAAAGTAAGTTCATATCTATTAGAATCAAAGGTGGAAAGGACATGGGAAATTCTGTCCAACTACCTCACTTTACAGCTAATTTAAAAAATTCATTCAGTAAATATTGAGTAACTTACATGCTGGATAGAGAGAGCTGTGAATACGGAGTCCCGGCACTTAGATCTTGCAATCCAGTAGTGAGAGAAAAGACAATGATGACCATAATTGTGGTAAGTATTTCAAAGGAGAGGTAAAACCTGATAAATGGTTTCTGCCCTCACAGAGCTAACTGAGGTAGAGAAGAAACTAGAAACAAGGTTTTCTGCCTCAGTGTATCCTGCGGAAACCTAGGGATGACTGCGAAGCATTCACACAGAACACTTCTGTTTCCATGACTCTTCTTCTGTTCTTAGAAAAGCTCTTAATTTTTTTTTCATGTTGCTAATTAGAAAGAAAGAAAGGAAGGAAGGAAGAAAGGAAGAAAGAAAAAGAGGGAGGGAGGGAGGGAGGAACTTGTTCCTTTATGGATGCAATTTCTTTTGAAAATGAGTTTGTGACAAATTTAGTATTCGCATTTCCTGTACAGCACAAAAAATACAAAGATCAAATCAGTAGTGTTATCTACTATAACATTCAAGTGTACACTTTTTAAAAGTATTTTGCTATAATTTTATTGTAATTTGTTTTAAAAATGTTCATCTGTGATGTTGAAAAATAATTTGATAATTTAGTCAAAAAAATGCCTTCATTTGCTCTCCATAGGTGCTTTTTATAACAAAGGTTCAGTGAATAAATCAAAGGTTCAGTGACTTCCAGTGTGCAAATTTCTACTTTGCAGTGCAGACAGAATTAGAACAAATCTGCAAATTTAAATAATTAAAACTGTGATTTCAGTGTCATTAAATAGGTTATAACAGGTTTTTCTTCTTTCCTCACTAGAGAAAGTCTCTAACAGGAGAATGAGAATAATTGATTTTAGAGCTGGAAGGAACTTTATTTTTATCTATATATATTTTTTATTGATTTCAGAGAGGAAGGGAGAGGGAGAGATAGAAACATCGATGAGAGAATCATTGATCAGCTGCCCCCTGCACGCCCCCTACTGGGGATCGAGCCCGCAACTCAGGCATGTGCCCTTGACCAATATCGAACTTGGGACCCTTTAGTCTGCAGTCTGATGCTCTATCCACTGAGCCAAACAGCTAGGGCTGGTAGGAACTTTAGAAATGATCTTGATTAACCCTTTATTTTATAGTTGAAATTATGGCCTAGAGAAGTTACCTTTCCCATTACCAACGAGCCCTTAGCAGAGCAAGGATTAGAAAACTGGCTCTTTAAGTCAGAGAAAAATAAATATCACATGATCTCACTCATTTATGGAATATAATGAACAACATAAGCTGATAAAAACAGATCCAGAGACAGAATCATCGATCAGAATGTCAAACCTTAGAGGGAAGGTAGGGGAGGGTGGGGGTAAGGGTGAGAGGTCAACCAAGGACTTGTATGCATGCATATAAGCATAACCAATGGACACAGACAACAGGGGGTGAGGGCATGAGTGGAGAGGATGACCATATGTAATAAGGACACATTTGTAATACCTTAATAAAGAAAAGTACAAAAAGAAAAAACACAAAAAACTGGCTCTTTAGTGTTCTGAGTGCCAAGGAATTATTGTTGTGTAGGAATGTCTCCCTTTACTTTAGGAGATTATATATATTAATCTTAGGAAACCCCATGAGTGTTCCATTAAGGTAAATCTGAAGATTTACTAAACTTCAGTGAGCTCCCACTGCAACTGCGATGGAAATAGCTTTAGCTTTGATTGTCAGGACACTTCCAACGTGGCAACAACCTACCTTTTCAGCCTTGTTCCCCACGGCTTCCCTCCATAGACCCGTTCTAGCCCAAAGAGTCTACTTTCATTTTTCAGATATCTTGAACTCTCTGTGTTTTTATTCAGTTTACCTTCATTAAAATACCTATTCTTCAAAGTCTAGCTTAAATTTTACCTCCTCTGTGAAGTTTTCCCTGGCCATGGAAATCAGAAACACTTTCTTTGGGATTTATGACTCTGGACCATTTATTATATTGCCATATTTATTTGTTTTATTTTTAAATTTTATTTCTTAGTTTCTCAGAGAATGGAATCCTTAAGAACTCTCTCTCTCTCTCTCTCTCTCTCTCTCTCTCTCTCTCTCTCTCTCTCTCTCTCTCTCTCTCGTCTACTCTCACCACCCTCAAGGTTAGTATGAAACTTTACACACATAGGGAGAGCTCACCTTTTTAGTTGAGTGATCAAGTGTAAGATAATGATGAATGCCCTCTTATATCAGAATCTTTAAAAAAGAACATGTTTTATAAAATCATCTACCGCTGATATAGCCATTACCTCAACATTTTCCAATCCTGGCAACCTCTGCTTAATGGCTGGGCTAAGCACCAGAATTCAGTCTGCCCTTGAAACAAACTCTCCCAGGATATGTTTGATTTTTGGAAATGTATCAACAGAGGTATTTGTCCTTCAGTCATATTTGAGGACCTGTTCATAGTAAGTGCCACTGAGAAAACCAAAAGGTGTTTTATAAAGAAAGCTGACACCTCACCACACCAGTTTGTCCAGTTATAAGGAAAAAGTCAAACAACCATGCTTGCTGTTTACAGCAGGTGTTTGAGGGCTTTCAGCTGGCTCTGTCCCATCTTATCCTAAGTTGCAGGAGGGGCAAGGATGCCACAATATGTGCCCTTCACACCAGACCACAAAACCAGAATGGCTCTGTACTCCCATAACCATATCCAGTCTCTGGCAGAGATAGCTTGTTCTGTCGTCAGAAAGGAATTTTCTACAGTAAGGCCATGTTGGCTGGCATTTAAAATGTGGCAGGATTACCAAATTATAGATTTCATACATTGTGCAAAGGAGATTCCCAGGGCCTGTTTGGAAAAATGCCATCCACACACACATGCAGAGCTTGGAAAGAGCACTTCGTTTGGGAAGAGTGCTTACCTCCTGGCACCTGGGAGTGCCCCTTAGACCAGATTCTAAGGCTCAAGTTTCATCTGGGACTGAGAGAGATTTTAATTTCTGACAAAACCCAAATCATAAAGGTAAATACTGGGAGTACCCAAGCATGTGTCTGCCTACCTCCAGCCTTGGTTACTCATGCACACCCCACCTGTTAATTACAGGTGGATGACATGAAGAAGCAAGGTGCTACAGAGAATGAAAACCATCTCAGAACCTTGAAGTCATTTCTGTTTGACTGAGAACAGTAATCAGAATGTTTTTAAAGGTGAAATACCTTTCTTTGGCTAAACATTACATTATAGTCCACCTGGCTGACAGGGAAAGCAGACTAGTGCAGTTTAACACCCAGCCTCTGTCAGAGGTCTAAAAGGAGTAATCTGTTACTCAGAGTATGGCCAGAGGACCAACAATAACCTGGAAGCCTATTAGGAATGCAGAATCTCAGGCCCCACACAAGGCCATTAAATTAGAATTTTCATCTTCACAGGATCCCCAGGTGAATCGAATGCAAATTAAGCATGTGAGCAGTGTTCAAGAGGGCTCAGCATTCTAGTTCCAGGGCCTTAAGCAAATTCCCAAATTCCGCAGGCTTCTCTGTGACATGCAACTGTTATGAAACCTAATGACAGTAACGTTGTGAATTGCCAAAACAAAGGGTGAAAGGCCTTTCTCACTGAAAACAAGAAGGACCTGCAGCCTCTGTATTTTACTTGGCAGGAAGGACATT